AGACATATCAGCCAAGAGGCAATCACCAAACACCAAATCCATTGATCCATTGATCAAAAGTCCATTTCATCATTGCCCAGGACTTTGCAAACCAAGATTCATATACATGATGCGTATACATACTGCAAACATATTCTGACGAAAGCAACCAATCAAAGAAAACCACCAAAGAGCACCATCAAACAAAACAAGCAAAAAACACACATCAATTCACCAATACCCGCAACAAACCAACATAACTGTGGAAATCCCACCATTTGCATGGCTTCCACATGGCGCCTTGGCGTGGGCCCCTCAGCCCTGTCAAGGAGCTTCTGGGTCATGGTCACCCACCTGCGACAGCGGTGAGCTCCCAATTAAGCAACACAACTTTATGGACACAACGGGATATAGATAGTTGTAGATTGTTTTATTATGACATCATGATGATTAGTGAGATGAAAATGATGATGATGATGATGGTGATGATGATGATGAGGATAGAATAGATGATAGAATAGATGATAGAATAGATGATAGAATAGATGATATAAGAGATGATTTAATAGATGAAATAATTTAGATGATATAATAGATGATTTAATAGATGAAATAATAGGTGATATAAAAGATGATAGAATAGATAATAGAATAGATGATATGATAGATGAAAGAATATGATGAAATAGATGATAGAATAGATGATAAAATCGATGATATAATAGATGATATGATAGATGAAAGAATATGATGAAATAGATGATAGAATAGATGATAGAAAAGATTTTAGAATAGATGATAGAATAGATGATAAGATAGATGTTCATATATGAATATACTAGAGATGCTGATATGTGTTTGCAAATGGTTATATAAATGATGTGTAGATGATGCCATTGTAAATTATCAAGCAGCATATAGTAACATATGTGTTTGATTATCACACATTGTTGGTAAGAAAATGCCAATCAACATACTCATATGTAGATTACGGATGATTACTGCACATCAACTTGAAGCATTGTCTGCCAGAGCTGCAGTGCAGCAAAGTGTCAAAGCCTTTCTTTTGGGCGAATTTGCCTTGAAACTTCTGGGGTCATGCTCACCATGATCATAGGCTGCTGACGGACGAGGGGCCAAAGGAAGAGACAAATGTCAGAGTCTTCAGACTGCTAGGCAATGTCACTACTCCGAGGCTTTGATGAAATCCCTCACCAAAAGTCAGGCTTTGCAGACCGCTTGGCATGGTCACTCCCTCCAAGCTCATGCCAAAGCCAAAGCGACCGCCAAAGGTCAAGGATTGGAGGCTGGTTGGCAGGGTGACTCCTTCAAGGCTTTGGTTAAACCTAGTGCCGAAGGTCATGCTTCGCAAACTACTTGGCAAGGTCACTCCCTCCAAGCTCTGATTGAACCTATTGCCAAAGGTCAAGGATTGCAAGCTGCTTGGCAAGGTCACTCCTTTCAGGCTACAATCGAAATCAGTTCAAAGGTCAAACTTAGTAGATTGCTTGGCAAGGCGACTCCTTCGAGGCTGTCGTTGAACAAACCTCCAAATGTCAAGCTTTCAAGACCGCTTGGAAATGTCACTGTTGCGAGTCTCTGAATAGAAGAGCTTCTGAAGGTCAGGTTTTGCAGGCTGCTTGGCAAGATCACTCCTTCCAAGCTCTGGTTAAACCTACTGCCGAAAGTCAAGCTTTGCAGACTTGGCCAGGCGACCCGGTCGAGGCTTTGATTGAACAGACTTCCAAAGGTCAAGTTTTGAAGACTGGTTGGAAATGTAACTCCTGTCAGGTTTTGATCGAAATCATGTCCAAAGGTCAAGCTTTGCAAAGTGCTCGGAAAGGTCACTCTGTCCAAACTCTGATTGAACTTACTGCTGAAAGTCAAGTTTTGGAGACTGCTGGGAAAGGTCACTCCTTCAAGGCTTTGGTTAAAGGCATTGCCAAAGACCAAGCTTTGCAGACTGCTTGGCAAAGTCACTAGATCCAAGCTCTGGTTAAACCTACTACCGAAGGTCAAACTTTGCAAGCTGCTTGGCAAGGTGACTCCTTCGAGGGTGTGATCGAAGTGACTTCCAAAGGTCAAGCTTTGCAAACTGCATGGAAAAGTCACTCCTTCAAGGGGTTCGTTGAAGCTATATCCAAAGGTCAAGCTTTTCAGATTGCTTGGAAATGTGACTCCTTTCAGGCTCTGATTAAATCCACCACCAAAGGCCAGGCTTTGCAAACTTGTTGGCAAGGTTACTCCTGACAGGCTTTGATTGACTAAATTTCCAAAGGTCACGCTTTGGAGACTATTTGGCAAGGTGACTCCTTCCAAACTCTCATTGAACCTATGGCCGAAGGTCAAGCTTTGCAAACTGCTGGGAAAGGTCACTCCTGCGAGGCTTTGGTTGAATTCATCGCCAAAGCTCACGCTTTGAAGATTGCTTGGGAGGGTGACCCCTGTCAAGCTATGATTGAAACTTTGTCCCAAGGCCAAGCTTTCCAAACTCTTTGGCAAAACCACTCCTTCCAAACTCCGGTTGAACAACTGGCCCAAGGTCAAGCTTTGCAAATTGCTGGGGAAAGTCACTCCTTCCAGGCTTTGATCGAAGTCATGTCTAAAGGTTATGCTTTGCAGACTGCTTGGAAAGGTCACTCCTCTCAGGCTCCTGTTGAACTTATTTCCGAAGGTCAAGCTTTGCAAACTCTTTGGCAGGGTCACTTCTTCCAGGCTCTCGTTGAAGCCATTTCCCAAAGTGAGGTGTTCTAGAGTCGTCGGCAGGTAGCACAAACACTCTCGATATGTCGTTCCCACCATCTGGGTCAGTCCCTCTAAGAGACCAAACTCTTCTGCAAGCTCTCCCCGCCGGGAGTCAAGAGCAGACTTACCTGTCATATAACCTGGATATGCGACCCCCCAACCAAAAGAAACATACTCCAAGTCCAAATATATTCCCCAAATGGTGGAATTTACTACTGGAGAGAAAAACAAATATTCCCAGCAAATCCAAGATCACGATATGCAGCGCACAAATCGATTGGAACAAAAGTGCAGGAAAGCGTTGCAGCTTGACAAATCCCCTGCTCCTGCAATGTTTGGCCGGGCATTAGCGGTGAAGCATTGTGGTGCAGCGCTAGTTTTCTTCCTTTCTTTCCCCCAAGTTGCTCCAACACCAGCTGGCGCACTTCCCGGCCCAGCGTTCCAGGACTCAGCGCCAACGCACAACCATCACCATTCAAGCAAAGCACATGAAGGTCGATCACATCGGAACAACCTACTGGCTCCACATAGCCACTAGCAGCCTCTTTGGGCATACTGCGCAACTACGATGACTTGTGAAAACTCTCCTTAGGAGAGCTAGGGTTGAAATTCAGTGAGCAAACTTAGCCCTGTCAAGTTCTGCATGTTCCAGGAGCTCAGTAGTTTGTGGCCATATATGAGAGAGAGAGAGAGAGTAGTTATATACACAAAAATATGACTATATGCATTCTTTATCTATACAATGTGCTAGTTGCACTAGGGTAGTTCGTCCGTATGCTGGCCTACTTGTCCAAACAGCTGCAATCGTGGCTTGCCGCCTGCGCGTCTCTTGAAGCTCAAGCAGAAGCAATGCAAATGGACAGAACTGCGTATCTATCTCATATAGAGTCGTGTATCTCATAGCGAATTGCCACTAAACTCTAAACGTTCCCTAGTACACATCCAAAACCCTCCGTAATAGACCTACACTCTGGTAACTTCGCATAGCTATAGAAAACAAATGAAAACAGCTCATTTATGTAGGTGATTTACCTATTCAACATTGTGATTTTCCATAGCTATGCTACATTACCAGAGGGTAAAATTATCTGCCTGCATTCTCTCCAAGCTGTACATTTCAGAGGATTACCACTTACCACAAGCACGAAGTTGGTGCGCAAGCTGCGATAACATGGTCATCCATCACTGGTTGGTGGTTTCAACCCCTCTGAAAAATATTAGTCAGTTGGGATGATTATTCGCAATATATGGAAAATGAAAAAACAAACCACCAACCAGATCAAGTAATGCCATTGATCAAATACGAAGCATTCCCTTAGACCCACTGGTTTAGTACTGGATCTACTAATGTTGGGTCTATTGCGGGTATTTCATACTACACCGGGCTAGGGTGATGGGATTGCAAATAGACGGTTGGCAATGTGGTGTTGAGAAGAGAGTTGAAAAGAGGCGGGAAGTGGTGAAGAGGTGATAAGAGTTGAGCCAACTGGCATTAATATCCAAAACTTGGGCTGGAAGACACCTACCTTCCCAGGCAGTTGAGACTCTAGAGTGAGTCAGGTTATATCCCCAATATGATCAATATGGTCCAGCAGGTACGACTTATGAACCAATCTACCTAATCAACAATTCTCATCATTCTATGAATTCCATTGATATCCAGCTTCCAAAAACCATCTGGCCCGATTAATGAAACTTCTCATTTGCACATTTGGCAAAACGTCCACCTCTGGGGCTTCGTCTCACTTCAGCCATGGATTCATGGTTCAAAAAATGTGCATCGCCGGTCAATGACGCGTGAATACTTAAACAATGTCAACCATGGCCATGTTCCATGGCTTGAGAGGATGTTTGCCATCTGGAGTCGGTGCCATCCCTTCAGCAACCTCCTACCAGCTCCCAGACAACTTTGTCCATGGCTTCCTGGAAAATCCACCATTGCAAGCCATGAGGGTATCGAGAAATATTACTAAACTTCCTCAATTCTCTTATGATTATCACATGATCATCCCAATATTATCTTATTATATCTTATATCATCCCATTATCATCTCAATGTTACCCTAGTCATCCCCTTATCATCCCACTATCATCCTATGATTTTCCCATTCATTATCCCATTTTCCCAAATTGTCCCAACATGAAAAAAACACGCCCCGGCCTCAGTTCCGTTTCGCTCTGCAGCGGCTTTCGCTCGGTGGGAACAGGGTCAGCGCAGCCATCTAGCGCATCCAGTTCCAGGGCGGCGGCGTGAAGCGAACCTTAAGATTTCATGGAGTTGGGCGTTTAGATAGCTAAGGTTAGGTTGTTTACTTCACTCCAAAAACAGATGGGTTTATGGAAAAATAATATGTATAATTATGTATATATATATATATATATTCAGCATATATATATATATTTTTTATATCTATATATATTATAGTTCATGGAGGTTAAAAACAGCAGACATTTTAATGAGGGCACCACATTGGCTTTGGCTTTAAGTGTGTAGCAACAAAAAAACGCTTGGCAAAACCTGTCAGCTACAGCAACTGTGCCCGATAATTTAGCACCGCTATGGGCCATCCTCCATAGCCACGTTGGCTCTCTGGCACCTGCTGCGCTGGATCTCTGGATCGCATTTTTGAAAAACTCGAAAGAAACCAAAGGCAATTGTTCTATGGGGAACGAAAGGGTCCCACTGCATCAGCAATTTTGGAACACACCCATACTAGATCAGACTAGCAATCACACCCCTACCACTACCAAATTCGATACCCTAAGGTCACTGTCTAAACCCACGGGCCTCCCGGCAAATGGCCAACGTTCAGGACATAAATATTGGGATGTGAATGACCGGGTGTCAACGACAAAGGTATTCGTTGAAGAAACGTTGAAGTTGGGACACCGAGTAAGTGCTAAATTCCAATCAAACTGCTACGACATTGGAAAAATGAGCTGTCAGTTTGGTTCTATATACTCACTTGTTGATCTGCCACTAACCAAGAAATCCCCATACACAATCCCTCATGATGACACCACCATTTTTCCAAATATCAGTGCTACCCTCTGGGAATCAAAATATGGCGTGCTGGAAAATCCGCCACTTTTTTCTCGATGATTTTTCCCTTCAAAACCTTCAGTTTTTGGGGATTTCCCAGTGCCATCTTTGATTACCAGAGGATATATCCCATTAAAATCTATTAAACCTCTATCATTTCTAATTATTATATTCCTATGATGGTTGATATATTCACATGATATTCAAACTTATTCCCGCGATTTCCCATTCTCATCAACTAGTAGGGCATACCTGGTGCTTCTTTCAGCAGGCAGCTTTGCGCAGATCCCACGTCACGGCCCGAGAGGAGTTGCTGCTTCATGAGCCGGGTCTCCTCGAGACGAGAAATCAGCGACCCGTTGGTCGTTAAAAGGCCTGATAGATTGGAAAAAAAGAGTCACAAATTTATGAATCAAGTCGATACACTGATTTGATCAAAAACGAAAGCAATCAGAATGTTAAAAACACGCAAAGATGAGAAGATGTTGTAGTTTCGGTTTCGAGCCGTTTTTGGTACCCATCATCACGTTGATGGTCAAACCCACGATTTATCACGATTTGATAATGCCAACTGTGCATAAGCAATAAACAATGCGTTTTTTTCAAAATAGGCACGTTAATGGTGAAGATAGCTCATATCTTTCTGGGGCAGATTTTTCAGGGCAGACACAACTTCGAATGCTATTTTTTTGGAGCCACTGATTTCCAAATCCAGGGTGGTTTGCAGTTTTTACAGATTTTACAGGTCATTTTTGGATGATTCCCCCAGTCCATCTCACATCTCAGGTGAAATTGATCCGGCCGAGCCCTGGCCCCAGCCAGCCCCATGGCCCCAGCCTCTTGATGAGCCCTTAGGAGCACCTGGCAACGGCCGCCAGCGGTGTGACATTGAAATCCCAACACCCCCGATACAAGGAAGGTAAAATGGCTAGATAAGAGAGGCACAAACATGACCAAATTATCCCTCTTGTGGCTATCACCACTCCTGATTTACAGATGAGTTGCCTGATCAAGACTCGGTGATTTTCCAAAGCTACCGAATGACCGAAGGGTATGATCCCAACTCGGCGCCCCAAGTGGGGGCAAAGTCACCTACTCTCCCAACAGATGAATATGGGCAAAAATTGAGCGAAACCAAGTCATCGGACATAAATATATTCTATGTTTGGAACTGCTTGGAGATGTTCGTGCCAATGTTTGGTAGGGTGCAGCTTCTATCCGATTCTATCCATGCTCACAATTTAGCCAGAGATATCACCAATGAGTGACCGACTAAAACACCAAGAATTTGCAGCAGAGCAAAAAACAGAGACTGAACTCTTGTTTGAAAAATAAACATCATGAAATATCTCACGTTCAATAAACATTAATTATACTTCAGTCTTGCCGTGGTTTGGATACCCTCCGGGATTTCATACTTGCCGTGACAAGCTGGAACATCCACCATCCACCGGTCAGCCCCAGCGCAATTGGAGAAACCTCGTGAAGCTGTTTCAGCTGCGTCTTCAACAAGTCGTCGTAAGATGTCTCCACCATGGCGTGACACGGGTAGCACGGCGCTCAAGCGTGCGCGGCAGTAACAGCACCGAAAACGGCTGCGGGAAACTCATGGGAAATAACGAATATAATACATGGGGATATGATAGAACATATCATGGAATATATGTATATTATATAGATGTATTATAACCAACAAATACCAACAAGGATCACCCTATGGGAAACCAGTGAAAAAACATCTTCAAAGCACCAAGCAATGGGTATTTTTCATGGATAAAGCATGTGAATAGGCCATTTCCTTTGATGATATGTCTACTATTGTCTACTTTCCGTGGTGGTTTTTCGATGGTTTTTCTCAGACTTGGCTGATATGCTTAATCCTAGCAATATCTACAGTAAGGGCCAGCAATGCTGCCATCATATTCCGGCCCTAACCAAAAAATGACCCAACACACGAGAGTGCAGCAACACAATTCATGTGGGATACTTGGTAAAATCACCAGCAAGTACACTGGGTGCTGGTTTCAATCATTTCAATCCATCCGAAGAATATGCTCGTCATTGGGGATTGTGATAGGGTTGATTGAAAACAATACAACCAACGAGTATATAAACATTAGTTATTTGAGATCGTTTTATGTCTTCCTACTGTGGTTCTGCAAGCAATAGCAGCTGGTTCATAAGAACCACCAATCCTTTTAAAGGCGGCACGTTCTGATGATGTGGAACCATCACCTGCTGCAAATGCTGATCAGGTTGGAGCACGCAGAAATATGTTTCACCAGCAATAGAAACCCCAAGTTCCCGACCTGAAAACCAATGTGAAACCACAAGCAAATGGCTGCAGGTTTTTTTGTTCAGCTGCGATGGCCTAGATTCACTATAGATTACAATGGAATAGAACCTACACGCTTCCCTCTCACCAAACGTAGTCCCATCACATTCTGGCTCATAAAACAAACGCATGAGTGATTGACCATCAAGAAGGATTTTGGATGATTTTAGTGCCCTTTAGCCTGAAGCACCTTTGGAAAACAACAACTTCTAGACTTGTAGATACGTTATGATACGTTTAGTGGGACAGCATTTTGCATCACTCAACCACTTCCAACGTTCCCTTTAACGTCAACAAGGGTTCACCAAGTTTTCCGGATAGGCTGTAGGTCACTGTAGCTTGCAGAGGTGGCACATTGGCGAAATTGGCACGGTTTCCGGCCGTCAGAAGCGGGCAACGTCGAATTTCCACACCTGGCAAGGCGGCAAGGACACTCCATTTGCCAGTTGATTGCTATTTGACCTGCTCAAACATCCCATAATCCTATAGCACTTTTTACCCCATCTGATAAATGACTAACATCTATTTTTACATATTTATACCAGTGTTTAACAATTTCGTTTGTTAGGTGACTGCAAAACTATGCAAAATCAGTATCCATCAACCAACTGTCAATAGTCAATGGTCACCTATTCGGCGAACCACAAAAGTCCCAGAAACGAAACCAGATCTGACAGCGCCACTGACAGCTTGGATCGGTCCAGGCCACCCCGGTCTGGCAGTCGTAGTCGATGAATTTGCAGGCGCCGTTCTCTTCGGTCATGCGTTTGATTTTCTCCTGCCGAGGGCCAAAAAGCCACAGAGGGCCATCCAGAAAAAGGCGAGCTTTGCGACGTTTGACCAGAACTTTCTACACTATATGTACATATAATTATATACAATATTTTTGCACATATGTCTGTGTAATTTCATATGCATTACGGATAATCATTGGGAGAGTACCAATAAATCAGAAATGAGCGCTGTGAGCCTGACAACTGAATCAGAAATATTATTCAGACAAACATTCTGAAAGAAGTGGCAGTTGAAGGACGAAGCAACTATAACGCTTGGCCTGAGGTCATACTTGGGGGTCAAGCGGGACCGCATAGTGTCCCAGTTGCCTTGTAGTCTTTAGCTTCTTTATCTCCAATTTGCTCCCCTGGTGGGAAGCACTCGTACCTCACAGGAAACATCCAACTGAATGTGGCAAGTATATGGTATGGGTCAACTTTGCTACCGCATAATTAACTAGGATGGTTTACTCCTGAAAAGTATGGCTCCCGGGCTAGGACCTTATTGAGTTTTGAATGTTTTGACACATGGTGCATATGCATCTCTGAAAGGCCCCGCCAAAAGATGGATTCACACTTAACATTGGGTTCAAGTCAAGTCAATATGTAAATGCCACTTACGATCATTTTGGGATCCAACAAAAAGAGCCTATAAAAGTGCACCAATTGATTTCCTATGGCCAATTGCGGGTGAAACCTCAGGGCCGTGTTTTGATTCACTTCAGGTCCCCAAACCAATAGGAAAAACCATCCTATTCCGCAAACACTGCATGCGAGGAACATACCATACTTCCCAACCCTGAAACAAGGGGATTTGGGATGTCTTTTTGGAGATATAGCAAGAGTGATATTGTTGCCACTGGCTGGTATGTTCTTCCTAAAATCTACTTCCCTTCCACCGTCTATTAACGTAGATGTTCAAAAAACATGTTTGTCAAGCAATTCCGCACCCATTTGTACCATTTTTATGGGATCTAAACCATATGATCCACAGTTGGGTGGTTTATCCTTTACCAAAGCACGGTACCATGGTGGTCTCCTGCCGGGTTGCATCGTCACGGTGGCCGGTTTGTTCAAACCTTCGCCCAGCGGCGGCTTTCTCTTAGTATCTGGATACACCAAAACCTTGGCAGAGATGCTTCCATGACACCAGCGATAGCCTCCGGCCTTTTTATGGGAGGTTTATGGCGGGATATATAACGAGGTTTGTATAAATTGATAGCTTCGGGTTTAACCAGGATAAAACTATATAAATGGAAGTTCAATGGGATATATAATGGAAGATCATGGGAATATATTGGACATGGAGGTTGAATGGGATATATCATGGAATATTATGAGAATATAGTGTAATGAAACTTGAGAAGGGGTGACACGAAAGGTAGTTGTGTCAGACGTTATAACTCTGATTGTCGTTGTGATGTGACTCCAGCTTGGGTGGTTCATGAACCGTGGACGGGCATGAAACTGGACATTCATAACGGAGATATCTGGATCCGAAAAGAGGGCACCCCACGATTGCCATGGTTGATCATCACTTAGTCTATTTAAAGAGCCATTTGGAGGTATATTGTCTGACACACGCATCGTGCGGGGACAAAAAAAACACGGTCAGTGTTAGCACAAACCCCAAAGTCGCTTTTGCGGTACCTATGGATGCTCGAACCTGACACTTTCATCGCACCGTTGGGTACGGGGCAAATGGATGTCGAAAAATCCGAATTGCAAGTGGAATGATGATGATGATGATGATGAGGATGATGACGATGATGCTGATGATGAGACACTGCGAAGGGGCTGCTGCGTGAAGAGACGCACAAGGCATGTGACGAGAGTTCACTTGGGGGGGGGCATGGAACTGGACATTCAGAGCAGAGCAGAGATATCTGGATCCGAAAAGAGAGCATCCCACGATGTCCATGGTTGCTCATCACTTAGTCCATTTAAATAGCCATTTGGAGGTATGCATTGTCAGACACACGCATCGTGCGGAGGAAAAAAACACGGTCAGTGTTAGCACAAACTCCAACGTCTCTTTTTGCGGTACCTATGGATGCTCGAACCTGTCACTTTCATCGCACCGTTGGGTACTTGGAAAATGGATGTCGAAAAATCCGAATGTCAAGTCGAATGATGATGGTGATGAGGAGGATGATGAGGAGGATGACGATGATGATGTTGATGATGATGATGGTGATGATGACGAGACACTGCGAAGGGGCTGCTGCGTGAAGAGACTCACCAGGCATATGGCGAGAGTTCCCTTTGAGGGGGGGGGAGGGGGGGGGCTCTGATTGTCGTTGTGATGTGACTCCAGCTTGGGTGGTTCATGAACCGTGGACGGGCATGAATCTGGACATTCATAGCTGAACGGAGATATCTGGATCCGAAAAGAGGGCACCCCACGATTGCCATGGTTGATCATCACTTAGTCTATTTAAAGAGCCATTTGGAGGTATATTGTCTGACGCACGCATCGTGCGGGGAAAAAAAACACGGTCAGTGTTAGCACAAACCCCAAAGTCGCTTTTGCGGTACCTATGGATGCTCGAACTTGTCACTTTCATCGCACCGTTGGGTACGGGGCAAATGGATGTCGAAAAATCCGAAATGCAAGTCGAATGATGATGATGATGATGATGGTGATGATGATGATGATGAGGATGATGAGGATGATGACGCTGATGCTGATGATGAGACACTGCGAAGGGGCTGCTGCGTGAAGAGACGCACAAGGCATGTGACGAGAGTTCACCTGGGGGGGGCATGGAACTGGACATTCAGAGCAGAGCGGAGATATCTGGATCCGAAAAGAGAGCACCCCACGATGTCCATGGTTTCTCATCACTTAGTCCATTTAAATAGCCATTTGGAGGTCAGACACGCGCATCGTGCGGGGACAAAAAAAACACGGTCAGTGTTAGCACAAACCCCAAAGTCGCTTTTGCGGTACCTATGGATGCTCGAACCTGTCACTTTCATCGCACCGTTGGGTACGGGGCAAATGGATGTCGAAAAATCCGAATTGCAAGTCGAATGATGATGGTGATGAGGAGGATGATGATGGTGATGATGATGTTGATGATGATGATGATGGTGATGATGACGAGACACTGCGAAGGGGCTGCTGCGTGAAGAGACTCACCAGGCATATGGCGAGAGTTCCCTTTGAGGGGGGGGGGGAGGTGGGGGGGGTGAGGTAGCTATCCCTCTATTAGGGGAGCCCTGGACAACTAATCTAAACACCTGTAGCAAGCGATGAGCGGCGGACACTTTTCTATGCTGCGGAATTGCTGCTAGTCTTGAGCCATGCGGAGTGCGCATGAAAGATGTGAATTAAGTGTACATGTCAACATGCATGAATGCATTGTGGAGACACGTAAAGCAAAATATATCACAAACAGACACAAATTTTCTTCGTGTCGGAACATGCAAGTCTGTTTCACAGGTAGCGCTCAGCCTGTGATCTGCTGTGAGACGGTCCGAAGACAAAAACAAAACTGTACAAAAGCTACTCTCCGCTGTTGGAAAGCGGTTGGTTTTTCGGCTGCTGTCAAGCTACCGCAGATGCGGAACATTGCAATTTTTCTGGGGCTACAAGCCCATAGTGAAATAGTAACCGTAGAAACTCAGCTCATTTTGCCTACGGTTTTCCCCGGACAAATGAAAGAAAATGGACTGATCCGGTGTTTGCGGAATCATGTCAAGCCACATTCCGTCGTATTTCTGGACCCAACGCTGTCTGGGTACTTGGTACCCTGGGACGTATTCTACTTGAGTGGTATTGGGATTAACTCTATAGTACGACGGCTGATCATAACTGTAACCGTAATTGCGGTGTCCGGAAGAGCTTGAAGCTGTTCCTTGGCTAAGCCATTGCGAACCCGACATGCGGGATGGAGGCGCAGGAGGCTCAGGTACATTAATAGGCCTTTTTCTGGTTGTTTGCCTCTGGTCGGCCTGCTGCGATCTCTGCCTCTGGTCAGCCTGTTGTGTTCTCTCTCTCCACGGCGGTGGAGTCTTCGGTGGTCCTGGCGGATCAGGTGGCGTTCGAGGCTGTTGTGAACCTAAGGTTCGTCCGGGAGCCGGAACTGGAGGAGCCTTTACAGGAGGCCTTGCCGATGAAGAAGATCCTGATGACTTCGGTGCAGATGTTTCTCTTAAGGATCTTGGTGCAGCCTTGTATTGAACTGGTCTGGCTTGCTCTGCTGGAGCTCGCACTGGTGCCGGAGGCGGTGCCGGTGTTTCGGCTCTGGGTCGATATGCTCTGGTCCTGCTGATCGATCGACTTCTAGTGCGTCCAACATTTCGGTGTGTATCAGTCCGCAGAGGCGGAACACTGTCTCTCCTTTCTTCTCTTTTGTCGAGATATCCTTGAGTTCTCTGCATCCATTTTTCACGTCTTTTATCTTCAGATTCCTTGGAACGGATGCGCATATTTTTCAATGCCTTTAGGGATGCATATGTAAGGAGAGGTGAGTGCCATGCACAGTCCTTTTCTGCCAAACCAAGGTCATATGCCATCAAATGTTTCAACTGTTCAACATCGTTCAACATAACTTCATCGGAAAAAGCAGATCCTGCAAATCCATCGGCAGAAGCGGATTCTTCTTTTGCACGTGCTTCCGTGACAGCGATCTGCTTACCGTAACAAAGAGAAATTAAAAGCATTGAATCACAATCAGCATCATCTCCACGCATGCTTCGGATGTAATCAGCCGCAGTGGTCGATGAAACTACGTTATACGTAATACGGTTTATCGGACTGCGGTGAAGATTAATCTGCTGAAGGAAACGCTCCAAAATGTCGATAAGGATGCAAGTCCGGTAGTCGGAATGATCGTCTGTCTTAAAGCTTCGCTGTGCGAAAAGATTCCCGTCACCGGACAAAAAGTCACACTGATGTTCAATACAGCTTGCGACAAATTGGAGCCATTTCTGGCACGTTTCTTTATAGGCATTACTCCATGCATATGAGGAGATATGAAAAACCGCAATGCGGCATTCAGCTCACATGAGACGTCGGACGTCATGGGTGTCAGCTCCAAGATTCACTTCACAAGCTTCCGCGCCGGAGACGGCAAGGTCATCGTCTCCGTCGATCTCACAGATCGAATGATCAAGAAAATCGAGTGAGGATGCAAGTGGGCGATCGTGCTGGTAAACCGTAGATTCGGCATTTTTCTCGATGTCCGGTTTCGGAACACGAGCGCCAGTAGAAGGATCAACAAATTCTCCTGACGTGTTCATGCCATGGCAAACACGAAAAATGGCACCATGCAAAATCCAAAAAGGTGCATCTTTGTTGGACGTTTGAATTTGGTGTTGACACAAAAGTTCGATAAATGAGCCTGTATCATGTGATCCACGGAGAAAAATTGCAAGTGACTGAGACTGGATGTGCGGGTGCACTACCATCCCAATCATGCCGTACTCTTCGGCAAGTTCTCGATGGACGGCAATTCCTCCGTACTCATCGGAAGCTTCGCACAAGCACACAATATGGGCCGCATTACGGAACACTAAATGTGGCAAGGCACGATGATTAATATCAGTTCTGACCCATTTTGGAAATTTTGCGCAACCTCCGATAAACGGAAGACGGTTGATGTGACCAAGGTTCAACGTCAAAATGCCAAGCTGATACGTGTCCTTCTGAAACTCGTGGATGTTCTCCTTAGTGCGCTTGGTAACACCGAGGATTGCTCTCTTACCTAGAAGGCACGATCTGAAGAGTTCCAATAAACGGAGAACCTCCTCTGTCTCAAGTTCATCGCCGTCAGGGTACTTGAAGAAAGCCTCAGGTCGCCAGATCGGAAGAGGCGTCTGGTCCTGGGCATCAACATAGTGCTCCTGGAGAGTCGGAATTCGACATCCAGATGGCATTTCATAAACATATTCTGTATAATCAAAGTCTTCAATTCCATGACGTGCAAAAGACTGAAGATAAGTGTTTCCAATGGAGCGTCCCTCACGCAGATGCGTGATCAGTTCAGAGAATTTTTCTTGGCGATATTGAGCATGCTCTCTGCGGGTGGCTCCGAAATACGAAGATTCAGCAAGGACAGCGTCAACCAGTTCTTCGATATCGAAAGGCGATTTGGATGAGCCGATGCTGTCTGGAA